AGTAAAGAACTAACAAGAGTTTTATATTTTTTCTAGATTGAGTTTCTTACCACTTCAATTTAAATTGCATTCTATTCGTTGTTGTTGTCAAATAGCAACAACTAATAATGTCTCAACCAACATCAGCATCGCGTATCACCGAAGATATAACACGTTTTAGAAGTGTTCATCACTTACCCGATGATTTAGAATCAAGTGAGTCTTGTGCAAATCGTCTATTCTGCAAAAACAACAACAATTAACAAATGTACTTTTTGTCTAGTGACCGGTGCCATTAGTCATTTACAGCAGCAAGCACAAGAAGTAATGAGAATGAAGCCGACATGGCAAACATACTATCAGTGAGTAAAAGACAAGTTTCATGAAATGTTCTTGTGCAACTCAAATTCTCATCTTTCTATAGAGGTCAAATGATTGGAAAAGAAGATTTTGATTTCATTTCACAATACGATCAAATGAACAGTGAGCAGCGAGCAAAACTACTACAAGAGCCAAACATGAGATATCAGGTAATAATTTATTAGATATAAATTCTTCATTAAACCTTTATCATTTTTTCTTCTAGTGTGCAAAAACGTTTTTAACTTTAATGTCTAAATTATTCAAACAACAAACGTTACGATACGTATTGACTCTCATGGATGAATGTTTAAGAGTATGTAGTTTTTTGATTGTCTTAATCTTTGAGTCATACGAAGCATATATTTATATTTAATCGAAACAAAACATCATATTCTAACAGTTTTTGGATTATGATAAAAACCGATATATTTTTCTTTTTCGTAGGAAGATAAAAGTCGTGTTGAAATATTTAATTCCTATGCAAAAATGGAAAAAGAACAATTGTGGCCATATTTTTTTAATATGTTGACAAATCGTGACCAGTTCGTTGTGCATCAGGTTTGTGTGTAATGTGTATGCTCTTGTCTGTTTCTCATTTTATTTTCATTTGACTTTAATTTTAGACAAGTCGTATCATTGCCAAATTAGCATGTTGGAGTCATGAACGTATGCCCGTATCCGATCTTGGATATTATTTGGCATGGTTAAAAGAACAATTAAAACCACAGGTTGTTAAACTGTGAGAAATCTGGAAATTATGTAAATAGATGACCATTTGTTTGTTTTTGTTTTAGGGTAATGATTATTTACAAAGTGTTTGTCGTAGTTTACAAATGATGTTACGTATCGAACAATATCGAGAATCGTTTGTTTCAATTGATGGAATAACAAAGTAAAACATCGTTTTAACAGCTAGTTGAGTTTATTTTTGTTCTATCTGTTTTGTTCATATTCTTCTAGTATTATGCATGTATTGAATAATGCATCTATTGGATTTCAAGTGCAATATCAATTAACATTTTGTTTATGGGTACTTGCATTCGCTCCAAATATTGCGTCAGTTATGGCAAAGTTAGTTTTTCTCATGAACACAATTAAAATGAAATATGACATTTGTTGTGATTTGTTAATTTAGATACAATGTGATACCACGCTTAACAGAAATATTAACTGAAACAGAAAAAGAGAAAGTGACACGAATGATTGTTGCATTTCTTCGTGTAAGTTTCCAAATTTTATACAAATAATAATTTAATCGAAAATTTATCTATTACTTATAGAATCTATTAGAAAAACCCGAAGATGAAAAAGTGATACGCGAAAATGCTATGACAATGATAGCGAGTCGACTTGTTAAACCGTTAGAATTACTTAGTAGTAAACCATATGATGACAATGATATCAAAGAAGATATTGAATTGATAAAGGAAAAACTCGAAGGAAATTTGTCCGATGTCAGGTAATGTATATTTTGTTTTTTATTATAAGAACGATTTTGTAGAATATATTTTTAAAAAAAGATTGACTCTTATACTTTGAATTTTATTTATTTTTCAGTTCTTTTGATGAATATGCTCTTGAAATTCGTTCTGGTCGACTTTCTTGGTCTCCCGTTCATCAGTCAGAAAAGTTTTGGAGAGATAATGCAACCAAATTGAATGATGCAAACTTTGAATTGATACGGTATATGAATAATGTATAATTGAATATATATTTTACTTTAGTTTATTCTATTTGTTTATAGAATGTTATTGAAATTGCTCGAACACAGTAAAGAGCCACTTGTATTATGCGTAGCTGCGCATGATGTTGGAGAATATGTACGACATTATCCACATGGCAAAAAGTATTTATTCTCATTTCTAGTAATTTGTGTACACTAAACTATAATTTTTTATAATCTAATTTAGAACTATTGATAAATTAGACGGAAAAGTGATTATTATGCGTCTATTAGAACATCCTGATTCTAATGTACGATACCAAGGTTTACTTTGTGTACAAAAATTAATGGTTCATAATTGGTAAGTTAAATCTAACATTGATATAGGAAACAGATTTGTTCGTCAGTTACAGTGATCGTTTCATTTTTAAGGCAAATAGCAGAACTTTTCATGAAAAAGTAGATGGAAAAACTAGGTTAGATAATGCGTTTGTTGCAATTTTGTTTACTTCATTTGTTTGCAAAAATCACTATACATTTTCGATATATTATTCTCTCTACTAACATTTATTTTGATTTCATTCCTTCATCGAAGTTCACATGAATAAGATAAATTCTTCTTCTGATTCTTTTCTTATGTTTTAGGGATTATTTGGGTAAACAAGTGGATTCGGATTCAAAATCGAGTGCAGCGAGTGGTGTCGGCCGTATTATCGAATCAAAAGCTTGATAATAGTCACTTTGTCAGAAGTATTTGCCATAATAGCTCTGTCAAATATACAAATGTGCAATCGTTAAGTAAACTAACCATTTTTTTAACTTTCCATAATTCAATGTTTGCCGGATGGAAAAAATGTATATTTTCATATTGGTCTTTCTTCATTTTTTTAAAATAAGTGTATATGTAGTTGATAGACTGATTTTTGTAATATATACTCTATTTATTTATGATCGTAGCTTAAAACATTTTTTATACAAGAAATATGATCAAGTAGATGGAAATGAAGAACATGAGACTTACTTATTTTCTCTGACGTATTTTGTTGTTGTTTTTTAGATTAATACTTGTATTTATAGGAAAAAATGACGAAACGTATGAAATATCCTTCTGTTATTGATCGTTATTTTACAAAATATTTTCAACCAAATGTTCACAATGAGTATGAGAATGATGTAATGGTACTAGTTCATTCAAATCGTATTTGTGTGTTAACATTATCTGATCAACATCCAATAATTAAACAACAACTAAAAATTGATTCAATTGAATCGTTAACATCGATTAACGATCAAATGAGTGGAAAATCAAAACGTGGCGCTGATTATATGTAAGAGTAGAAATACTTTTCATCTACTTTTTCTTTAGTGTATTTTTGTCTAGACACACCGATAAACTATTATATCGTATAGTATGTTCAAATGGAAAAGTATTTACAATATGTTCAAGTATAAGAGGTCGTCTAATTGAAATGAATGATAAACTATTAATTAAACCAGAATTATTACATGAACAACCACATTATTTAGCCATAATGATACCATCTCTAAAAGATTATGAAATAAATCTTCAACAGTTATTAAATGAAACAGATTATATTTTATTCAAAGATAAACAATCGATTTGTGATGTTGCAACAAACGAATAAAATAATTTTATTTTTTCGTATTTTTATTCTTTAACGTGTGTAAGTGGAAATTCCAGTGATTGTTTATCATTTTTTTTTCAAACTGTTTTAGATTACTAACTACTCTAATTGTTCTCTTACTTTGTACACATCATAATTATGTAAAAAAAAAAAATACATCACAATCGTTCCAGTAAGCAGCATGAATTTCCCAACCATTCAGCTCACCAAGTTATGAGTGTTTTTTATTTAAAATGTAGCACTATAAAAAGCATTGCTTTAGTTTGCTTTGTGTTGTAAGGCCGATTTAATACCCTATGCTGTTTTTATTGTTAAAATACAATATTATTGTGGTGATCATTTTTCACCATTCAAAGGCAAAAAAATAAAACGTTTCTTTTTTCATAGAGTACGGTGTAGAAGAATCATGGGATGGGATGAATTACCAACTTTAATATTAGAAGATATATTCAGTATGTTGACAATGGCTGATCGATATTCATGTTCACAAGTTTGCACCTTATGGTAATATTGTACTCTATTGTCCATCTATATACATAACGATTTTTGAGATGTATCAATTCAAAATTCAATATTAAATAATGGGCTGACTATATTCTTTTAGGTATCAAATATTTCATTCGCCTATTATTTGGAATACTCTAGTATTCAATGGAGTCAGTATTTTTACACGAAAAAAATTTAACATGTATCGTGGCTATGAGCGTATACTCAATCCATGGCGTTTACAAATGTATTTACGTCGAAAAGGACGTTATTGTCGATCATTAATAATAAAACCATTTCCTGAATATCATAATCTTTGTGAATTTTTAAATATGTTTAATAATTTTATATCTTATCATGAAGAAAATTATCCATTTGACAATTTTCAAGAGTTTTCATTTACGTTCTATGTTTTAGTTTCAGTCGATGATGTTAATAATAATTTTCCTCATCAACAACCGGCTAATGTTATTATAAGAGGAAAAAAACGATATTACGGTACTGGTGGTACCATTTTACAAACACTACGACGTTTCATTCGTTCATTGAAATGTTTGAAAAAGTTTAAATTAAATAATTTATTATTGGAAGCCAATTCTGATGTTGGTAGTTGTTTAGAAGAAGTACTAGAACATAGTCAAGACACATTAGAATCGCTTGAATGTCTAAACTATACATCACATATTTTACCATTATATATTGTTGGATTATTTTCTAATTTAAAACAAATAACAATTTCAAGTCATTCACTCAGCGATGACGTTCTACTTCTATTTGCTAATCATACAATTTATTTAAAACGATTGATTATTGTTCAAGATGAATTAACGATACCATATGTTTGCTCAACTGCGGCATGGATTGAAGTAGACAAAATATTATATGAAAGAACATTTGAACATTCAAAATGGCATGTCGAAATGTTAATGACTGGACGATGTAAATGTGAACCATTATGGGCAACTGCTCCAGCACCCATTAAATCAATTATCTATGAAACTATTTTTTCTAAAGTTAATCATTCAAGTATCTATACATGTTTAGAAAATTATTCAAAAACCTTGGAAATCTATGCTCATTTAAATTCATTATGTCGTGTTTATATACCAAAAAGTTTTAATGAACGAAGTGATCAATCGTACATAGCATTAGTTAAAAACTGTAAATATTTACATACATTGGCTATTCGAGAACGTATTTCAACAGCAACATGTTTATTAATAGTTTATTATGGTGTCAAAAATAATTTAAAACAATTTTATCTGAGACGAAATTGTGTAATTTTACGAAACGAATATAAAATGTTTATATTTTCTGATGACAATAATCAGACAATGCACAACTGGATTGAAACAAATTGTCGAGCATATGATACAGTTGAATATAGAGTATCAGAATTATTGAAACGAAAATGGCATATGTTATCGGATCATCTCTATAATAAAATAAAAATGTGAATTCGGTGATAAAATCTTAAACTGGTGTATTTTCTCTTATTTTTTTATTGTCATATTTTTGTTTTAGAGACATAAATAAATTATTGATCTTGTTCAATTTACTTTTAAGAAAAGAGTCCAAGTACCATTTTGAATTGAGTGATTAGTATGATGTTAGAGACAAGCCTCACTACACGGTACATCTGAATGGTATATTTGAAAAGGATGTGGAAAAAAGATTCACTTTTTGTAATGTAACTTGCTTTATATTTATCAAATCGACAGTATTACTTTAGAATATACTGATCGTAAAGTCATTAAAGCAGTGTAAAACAGACAATGATGGAATGTTATTGAAATTAATCCTATTCAGTTTTAACTGAATCTTGACATATCTGAAACAAGACTGCACAGAACGTAAATGAAAACTCTTGAAAATTGTCAAATGGATAATTTTCTTCATGATAAGATATAAAATTATTAAACATATTTAAAAATTCACAAAGATTATGATATTCAGGAAATGGT